AAAGGTGAAAATAATAATAAAACAAAGGACACCGCATCCCATCGAATTTAATTGGACATCACCGGTGACTTTTTGGGGGGATTTTAGGGGATCCTCTGTTAACTTTGTCACTCTCATGAAGACTCACTTTGCGCCCGTGAATCTGGAATGTAGCTGACTGTAGCTGACTTGGGCCGCACCCGCTCAACACTTACACTAGGCACAGACCCATGGTCACGCGTCACCATGTCCACAGCATAAAGCATCGAGTTTCGTCAATACAGTGGATGCTGGCTTGATGACGTTGTTCAACACGCGCTTGCGTGGGGGATCAATTTGACCCCCCCCCCCCCCCTCCCTCCCGAAGGCTTCTCCGGAATGGTTTCCAAAATGCGCGGCGCACCCACACCACACTTTGTGTATCTGTAGGTAACTGAGTAGCAGATCGTTTGGTATCAAAAATGTAGATATACCTTGTAAGGTCGCTGACCTACGGCAGGTCAAAGTCAGGTCATGGATTCAGTGAAGACAATTTCCCTTGAATTGTTCAATCTAATGCAAAAACGGAGTGTTAGACGAAGACATGCATCTCTGAGATAGGTTCCTAGGGAACACAACAATTAAATGTACAAATTACATTGACCTAGGGTCAGGAAGGAAGGTCAGACCAGGATCAAAACCAACTTGTTTTATTACTCTAGAGATAGCTGTCTGGGGTAGTTTCTGGTGCTAATTTCGAATTCATCGATAACAGAAACCGCATTATACATGTGCCATGGACCTCGTTAAGGCCAGGACAGATCATCGACATAAAATGACCAAGGTCAACATTTGTTTTTCGAAACATTCTGCCTGGCGCAATCTATGACGCTTATTCAACTGCAAAGCGCAAAACAGTCTTGTATGATTCTGGTCACCGTGACCCGTGAAAGATCAAACAAGGTCACTGACCCAAAATGAACATCATTGACCTGTTACTTAGGACGGGTATCCAGGTCCCGGGGTTACTTTGGACACCAATTTGGGGCTTGACATTGTTTGACTTTACTTGACCCGAAGTGCATGACCTAGGAGCCACAAATTTTGACGCGAGTGAGTTCACACGCAGGCCAACACACCCTGCTGAATTTTGTGGTCTCAGCTCTCTTGGTTTCTTAGATCTCAGGGGCGTTAAATTGACGCCCACCACCCGAGCGAAGGGCATTCAACCGGCCACCCGGGTGCCTGTTCAACAGTACCTCCGGATGAGATGAGGGTTTACTTTGTTCAGGATAAGGACCCATGACTCATTATGCCGAAATACCACTAGCTCATGGTCTGTCATGCTTTGATCAGTCAGAAATGTTTCATTGCAGAAGAGAGAGAGGAGGAGCGAGAGATTTCAGTAACACTCTTTGCTTTGGGTGTTTTACAGGTGCTCCGACAGCTATTCCACCTTGGCCTTCTGACCCGCGCAGTTGATCGAGGCATGAACCGTCATTGACGCAACAGCATTCCTGCTCGCCGCAGATGGCGAGATGGTTGGTACATAGACTCCAGTTGGGCCTAACGGGCCCATGATGGAATAGTGATGAAATAGAAAAAAATATTGTTCGGTACTGGGGCCCTGACTGACACAGCGCAATTATATTACCTCAATAAGAGCACTCATCACGGGTCTTTATGTTTCCTTCAATTGTCAGAGGTCCCGAACCCCAGCGGCTAAGAGGCCCTCTGCCATTCGGGGTCCCGTCCCCGTCCTTGTTGAGCAAATCTTCCCATGGCCGATTCGAGGCTCCTTGTTGACACAAAATGTCCTGTTAGGGGATGTGGGCCCCTGGACGATACATATGTACATGTGATATGCAATGTGACTGGCCCGACCAATGCAAATCGCGGGTCCAGCCCTGTTCCTGCTTGGGAAATGAGCCCCAGAGCTCAGACCAACACGGAGCCGACTGTTCGTTGTTCGTGGTCTCTGGCCGAAAGTAGAGGAGCGTCTGTCTCAGGGGTACCCCATGGGCGGGGGGCCCCCTCAAAACACCTCTCGAATCAGGGCCACTTGTCGCCACAGGACCCCCTGCTCGGCAATGTGGCCCCTCTAACGATACAGGAGCCTCGCGTTTGTGTCAGGGACCCCAACAGTTGCAAATCACGGACCCGGTCGTCGTTTTGCTTGGGAAATCGGTCTCAAGGACTCAGAAGGAGATGGAGCCGACTGTCCGGTGTTCGTGGTCTCTGACCGACTTAAACACCTGCATTGTCTCAGGGGTTCCTCAAACAGTGCAAGAGGACCCCTGGCTGATATTTCAGGCCGTGACCCTACGGGCCGCGATTCTTTATGTGACCTATAGTCAGTTCTTCGGGTCGTTATGCCCTTCAAGCGGGCCTTTGATCGTCGGTTCCGGTGGGCCGCCCGGGACCCTCTTCGGGCTTCATTGCACACTTCCCTTGGTCGGCTCGGGGCCATTGCGAGCACAGGGCCCTCTATTAGACGTTGTAGGCCCCTGATAGACACAAGACCCCGACCAGTGTAAGTCACTGGCCCCGGCCTTATAGATGACTGAGAAGTGGGTCCTCAGGCCCATGCCGACACGGAGCCGACTTTGTGGAGCGGTGGTACTTGACCAGCAGATAGGCCCATATCGACTCAAGTTTCCCCGATCGGTGCAAAAGGCCCTCCTACCGTTACTTGAGGGTCCGTGTTCGCAGGTCGGGCCCCCCGAATAAGGACTCCGACCAGCCCTTTATGCCCTTAGACCCTCAAATCGGGCCCTTGATGTCGGACCCTCTAGGCTCTCTAGGCTCTTGGGGCCCGCTAGGCTCTTTGGGCCTCCTCCAACGCTGTCTCTGACCGACTCGGGGCCCCTTGACAGCACAGGGTGCCCATTAGGCGATGCGGGGCCCCAAACAATGTAAAACGCTGGTTCCGGCTTCTTCCCTGCCAGGTAAATGAGCACTTAGGCCCATACCACCACGGGGCCGACTGTGTGCTCCCAGTCGTGTCTGACCGAAATATAGGCCCTTATCTCTTCAGTGGGCCCCCGATCAGAACGCAGGGCCCTCTGGCTGGCATTGGAGTGCTCAGCCCTACGGACCGGGGCCCCTGCATGAGACATCCGGCTGGCATTTCGGGTCCTTTATTCTACGTTCCGACGAACCTTTCGGGCCCCTCAGAACCTAAGGAGAGCACGTGCCGGGCCGGGGCCCCTGAATGAGACCTCCGGCTGGCTTTTCGGGCCCTTAATGTCAGGCACCGACGGACCTTTCAGGTCCCTCGGAACCTAGCGTGAGTACGTACCCCCTGTGCTCCCTGTGCTGTAGGTTTTGACCTCAAATGGCCCAAACGCACATATTTTCTACTGTAAGCGTGAAGGCAAACTACCGAAGGGATTTGGTAGTAGTAAGCAGCGGTAGAAAAAAAAATTTGGCAGCCTATGAGCGCGCGTTATTTCTCCGTGGGGCTTGAGGACGCGTCGCGCGAGCGTAGGGGTGTCGGCGCGCGGTGTTGCGCGTGAGGTAATAGTGTGGGGACACGGGGTTGGCGTGTGCTGGCATTGATAATGCAGGGAATATAGGTATCATTCAGAACGTAGTTTTGCAATGCGAGTCGGGAGGGAGCCCGAACAGGGAAAATAAGCTTCCTGCAACCAAAATACGCTAAGGCGAAGTTTTCCACGCATCGGGCTGAGTCTTCCCCAAGGTGGGGAAGACTCAGCCCAAGTCGGGGGAAGGGGGGGGGGGGGGGGGCACTGACCGATAGGTGCTGCTGGGTTAGAGTTGTCTATTCCCCGCACGCGTGCCGTCTGTGAAACGTTCAGGGCTCATGATTTGTGGGGACAGGACAGGTGGTGGCCTTACATGGGATATACAAACATGGGGATAAGGCTTCATACTGGATTAGGGAGCTCTAGCTGCCTTGCAGACTTCGAGAAGACAGTTGGCCCCATTTGGTGAGGAGCATGGTTTTGATGTATTTGGAAGGCACGGCTAGCTATTTTTCTGCGTAAATCACCCTTAGACTACCTTTGCATTGGGCCCTGCATGTTTGATGGATGTGCTAAAACCGACATTTTAAAATGGTTCATGTGTTGTCCAAAATTGAAATGATAGATTAGAGGTCTTCCTATGTCAGCCTTGTGCAGACATAATGTCTTGATGTTTTTATGTCTATTAATGTCACAATGTCTCCATGTCCTTAACGGCTGTGTTGTTCGGGTGTAACCTACCTCGCCCTTCCATGTCATTGAAGTTTTTGTAGAATGTCAACATTTTCAAGTCTTATCTGTTGGTAACATCCACAACCTGGCAGACCTATGTCATTTTTTGCTGCAGGTTGTATATGCAAAGGATCACCATCCAGCACAATGTCAGACAAGACAACATCTGGAATTTTTAAGTATTTGTTTGACCAAAACCGCCCTTATAGTGTCACAGATATTCACATGAATCTTCACAAGGAATATGGGAAAACTGCTATTCAAAAAAGTTTAGACACATTAGTTGAGGTAAGTTTTCTGGTATTTTTCTTAACACTGGTGAGAAAGCTGTCATCTTTGAGAGTGTTCATGGCTTGAGTTACCTGGCTCATGTAAAAAGCTCAAGGTTTGCTGTATTCATCATTGTTTTGCTTTTGCTTTGACCATATCCAAGGCATAGCACAATCCCTGTAATGTCAACAGGTTATGCACATGTTTCTGTTTGTACATGAAAATAGTATATATAAACAACAGATGAGCCTTCCATGCTTGTCTATCAGTGCTTGCTGATAGTTGAATGCTTCTACAGCACATCTAGTGCTGATGTTTGAGGAACATTGGCTACATTTGTTTGGAAACAACATCGGCTTTTAAATGTAAATGTAAACAACATTGACTCGGAACATTGGCTTTCAAAACTATTATATGCAATGAGTGTTGCTGTTGGCTGATTTCTTTGTCCTTCCAGGAAAGGAAAGTGCTGGAAAAAGTGTATGGAAAACAGAAGGTATATGTTGTAAATCAGGAGTTGCATCCCAGGTGGAAGAATCTGAATTGCGAAGCATGGACGCAAGGCAAGTGTCATAAAGGATCGGGTCATGAAATGCATTTGGAGCTCTCACTTGTACGTGACATTCCGGACTACCGATAATGGTGGTCCTTGGAGTGCATGATGTAAGTCTTGGAGATTGTGGACACATGTACCTTAAGATAATTAGTCTCGAGAGCCATGGTGAAACGACTGTTTTCTTTGGCAGGCTATGTGCACGGATTGTTCGATCGTAGGCTCCATTTGCTCACACATTGGTTAGGGTGAGTGCTGTAGCCGTTTGTCAGCGGCGTTACTTTATAACTTTTGGGTGCTGGATCCTCCAGAAATGTTAGGTTTTACCAGTAATACAATGATCTTAATGATGCATAGAAATATTGACAAAAATATCGAAATAGGTACGGGTAGGGCACCCCCCAATATTTTTGTTTTTTTGGGGGGGAATCATACACCACTTGTCCGGGCTCGTCGTTATCTATATACATAGATGCGTGGCGTGGGGAAATAGTGGTTTTGTTTTACACAGACTGTTTATTTTATTTCTTCTCCACAGAATTGCACAGCTGACTTCAGAGCTAACTGGAGAAGGACTAGCATTGCGGGAAGCTGAGGGCAAGTTGAAAGCTCTAACCAGCAGCCTTACGTCAGCACAGGCCAAGCAGGCACTAGTGGAGGTAGCTGAAACGTTTTGTCTGATCTGGATGTTGGGTTGACAAGTTGTGCAAAGTTGCGTGACTGCTATTTCTGTGTGATGCAATTTAAATGTTAGAACAGCCCTTTCAGTTGAATCAGTGCAATTTAAATGTTAGAACAGCCCTTTCAGTTGAACCAGTGCACATCAGGATGTGTTAGCTGTGAACGTCGCGCTGTACAGAGGACTTCTTGCAGTCTTTGTTTGACCGCTAGATAATTCATCTTGTTTGGCAAGCACCATGTCATCGTCCCATTTTGGGCGGAACTCTTACGAAGCCTGTTAGTCTGACCAGTCAAGACGACACGATTGACGAACAAACTGTCAGCATTGTCCGACCCTCCGTTTGAACCTCGCTTAATATTTCAGTGCGAGGACGACATCCGCGAGAAGACTGAGAAGTTAAGTCAGTTGAAAAAATCGTCCGGTAACGTGACAGCTGATGACAGACGGCGGGTGCAAGACCAACACCGGAAGTCGCTCGGGGAGTGGAGGAAGCGGAAACGCATTACCAACGACATCGTCGACGCCATCATGGAGGGCTATCCGAAGAAGAAAAAAGATCTGTACGAGGAGGTCGGTCTGGAAACAGATCAAGATGTGGGCGTTACACTGCCATCGTGAAGATGTAGCTGTGTGTGCTTGCAGGTACTAGCACACTGTTTCTGGAGTTTAAGCGTTGTTTTTGTGTTTGTGATAAATGATGAACTGTGAAATCGCCTTGAAATGTCAGCGTAGGTGCACATTTTGCTGACGTTATATGTTCGAATGTGTGTTTAAAATACATTTGCTACATTCTGCTATCATTTGTTCTCTTCCTAGTTCCGCGCAGTGTGTTTTCTAATTCGACCATCGCGGAACTAAATGGTTCGGTACCGGCCTCATGAAGGTCCAACTTGATGAGTGGGTAAGCACTCCAGGCAACGCCGCAACCTTTTCAGGGAGGAGCGGAACGTTGCACGACGCACCGTCCATGCTCGTTTGCCGTGGACACGGTCACCCAGGTCTACAAGGTCGTTTACGTCGCAGATAGTCGCATCCCGCCCTTACCATCCAGGCTATGTATTACCTCTCACGTACGCCACGCTGGAGCCCCTGAACTGAACTGCAGTCTGAGCCGTGGTTTGATTGCGAGCATGGATGGGGCTTTGACCATGTGGGATCTCTCTCCCCCGGCTTAAATCATGTCATTATGAGGCTCGAATCGCTGAAACCCCCTTTTACCAGGCACTGAAGCCGGTAACATGCTTACGGTTTAGCTCGATTTATACGCTTTGGGCCGTTCATGGCGTAACGTGGACGCAAACCGTTCCCAGCTGACTAGTGAACATATGTAAGTTTGGATGCTCCATTACAGCCACACTCGTGTTTGACTCAAATGTTGTCAAATGACTCAAATGATGTCAAACTATAAATAAATGAACATATTTGGCAACCTCCAGAATAGCTTTGACATTAAGTGACTTCTGGTTTGAAGCCGATGTGATGGTGATAATGATGGTATATGATGGTGATATAACTAGTGGTGCGTTTAGGACCTCATGTACCAGTAACTAAAGCACTCGCTGTATTTCGCGGGCCGAGGGCATTGAGGGGACTCAAGTACGCATGAGGGGGGGGGGGGGGGAAAGTCGGGGCCCCAAAGGATTGAAAGTGACACAGCCCTGTATGTCCATGAGCATTTGACAATATCGCTCATCACCTTTATAACGTAACGATGGGCAGGAATAGCTAAAGGTACCTTACGGACTGTCCACATAAACGCCTCCTGTCTATAGCCGGCGCCCGATCTGACGGCTTTGCGACACCAACATTTCACCTCCCCCCCCCCCCCCCCTCCCCCATCCGCGATTGCCATCCGATGCTGTTCACATTCGCATTTAGCTGGCAGATAGAAGACACATGGCTGGTATAACTGACCTAGCATTACCACCACATGTACCCTGAAGGTAATTCTGGACGCGACTGCAGCTCGTGCATCTCGCACGCCCGCTGTGGGCTTTGAATTAAAGCATGCGATACATATTTGCGATGAGATCGAGTGTCATGTGGCCTGCTGTCGCACTGCTCCAACCAGATCTTGTTGCGCTGATCTTCAGTGCCAATGTTCGCCAATCGGTTGACTTTCTTAAAGTCAGGGCTGATGACCACAGCTGCGAGATAAAGGACTGTGTCACTCAAAAATTTCGTTTATTTTCGAAATCAAGCCAGCTTGCCGATCGCCAGCAAACACCGAAACTTTGCGTACCGGCAATAAAAAAATGCACTTAATGACAACTAATCCACAAGGTCTGGGTTTAACCACATCGAACGAACGAACTCAAAGGCTGCAAAGATCATGGGCTCAACATATAAAAATACCGACCACTATTTGGTGGAATGCTCACAACTCCACAACACACCAGATATAGCCCGTATGCACAACCCCATACACCGTGTACCATGTACCGTTTCTTATTGATCACAAAGCAGCACCTGCTAATTTAAAGCATCGCCATCAGAGCACAGCAAAATTTGACTAAGCAAGTGGAGAGGGTGACGTAACACGCTTCCAACACTAAAGTGCTGTCCTCAGAACCTCCAGAGGACTAGTAACTGTTGGTGCCGTTCACAACCGCTAGATGTCGGTCCACTACGCTGCCAGCGAAAGACGTCTACACGTCCAGCTTGGGAGGCAACTCGCCGTCGGCCACAATGGCATTGTAGGCCGGCGGCAGGTCCTTGACATTGGCGGACTTGGCATCCTCCGCGTGCTCGCCCACCAAGGAGTACTTGGGAGGCAGGTCCTCGGCGATCTCCTCGTGCTGGTAACAGCGAGCTACGGTCACAACAGCGGCACGATCACTTTGTTCTCTCTCCACGGAAATTGCCTCTCCTGCCACAGAGGCTGGTGGCGTTCATGTTTCGTGATAATGAGCCTCTCTGTGCCTTGCCGCATCACACAACTACCTCCATTGGCCGGCCGTTTGCCGTCTGCCGATTTGCCCCCGCTGCCTTGACTTGTACCAGATAAGCGCCAGGTAGGAAATGCCGCCGAGTTTTCCCTTATACGCGAGCTTGACTCGCCCCCCCCCCCCATGATAACCTACCAAGTCGTCTGGTGTATGCACTAATTCAAGAAAGACCCACGTAACGTTAAGTCATGTAACAGCTAAACAGCACAAACAAACAGCAACAGCTAAAGTTTCGCCTCGAAAGCGTCGAAGCATCCTGGCGCAAGAGCCCAGTTCCATCATTTTCCCCCACTCGGCACTCCTGAGCGGTGTGTCGCGGCCCAGCTGGGCGCGGCCGTACCTGGATGAGGGCGTCCTGCTGGCGGCGGCGGCGGCGGCGCACCACGCACACCAGGCAGTAACAGGTGTACAGCACCAGCGCCGTGCCCAGCAGCAGCACGGCCAGCATCACGTAGTGGGGCGTGCAGCGCCAGACGCGACGCCAGCCGCTGGGCGCCGCACGCAGGCCCGGTGACACTGCCGGCGCGCACGGGCCCCGTTACGCCAGGTGGCCGGCGGCGCGGCACGTCACGAGCGAGCACGACGACAAGGTTCAGCCGGGGGCCGGAAGAGAGGTGACGCAGACCCCGGGAAACAACTGAGGCGGGTGGCAGGGCACGGCTTGGCTGGAGGATGCAGCTGGTTACCCAATGCCAGAAAATTAACGCCGGATTCTGCCATCTCGCATGAAGGGCACGGACACCAGAAGTGCCGTCTGCGTCCTTAACACGAGTGTCCAGTTCCGCCGTACGCTGACTCCGCAGTGCAAGCCGCGGCAGCTCGGCGCCTCTTTGGAGCGGGGTCCGGGCGACCGATCGACTGGCTGGGTCTCATGCGGTATGAACCCACTTAGTTGTAGCGAATACACAGCCCGGGCCCGGGCCCACAGCCCGGGCAAGGTAACCTCAATATGCGGTTCGACAGGTCTCAGTGCAGTCTCTGGGTGATCTCCGAGTCTCCGAATGATCAGTCGGCACAGATGGTGAATTCAACTCCAGCGACGTTTTCCGGGGCGCTCCACCGGAAGCGCGCACTAAGGCTCGCCCTGGCCCGGCTCCCGAACGACACGTACCCTCGACGCGCACCGCCTGGCGGTTCTCGGCGGCCTGGTGATCCAGCTCCGGCTCCTCCGCGCCGCGCATGCGCAGCATCATGCGCTGCATTGTCTCGCGCATCCGCTGCACCATGTCGTCCAGGGCGCGCGGGAACGGGCTGGGCGAGTCACCGCCCTCGCCTGCCGACCAGACAGCCACTTGAGATGCGGAGGCACGACGTACGCCCGGTGACAAACGAGAGAATACGTCTGCGTTACTCAAAGCGCTGTGTGGAGAACGTGCTGTATCCATCCATGAATCCGTCATCTCTGTTCGCCAGCTTTCGTACTAAAGATAGATCTCGTGACACGCGCTTGACCTAGATGCACCCTGAATACATGTTTCACAAAACCGGGGATGACCTTACGACCCTGTTCAGTTTCGTCTACAAAAACAAAGCTGTGAACGGCAAAATAAATACGATGCTGGCGACCCGAGTGCCGATGGCGGGCGTTCTTTTGCACAAGACGCCACACAAGCGAGCATGACAGCGCGCACCGCCGGTGAACGTGGGGAATTCCCCAGACCGCCTGCACGTGGTCGAGGCGCTCCAGTCACGAGCCGCCTCAGCTGCAGCCAGGAACGTCGCAGGGCGCGCCAGCCGAGCTATCGGGTGGCAACGGGCACGTGACCCTGATGCTCAGGCCGGCGACGGGTTCACGTCAACTAGCAACGGACAGGAGCGGATATGGCAATGGCTGGGAAGGTCGTCCCAGTGCCCACTCACCCAGCTGGGAGCCTGATCACGTACGTCGCAGCGACTGATGCTCATGGCCGATGGGATCCAGTAATGCGTTAGGTAGTGCGCAAGTTTCTGTTCAGCCGTGTGGGTTAATCAAAATGCGAGAGATGGCGTGTGTCGCGCAACCAAAGGTTCGCTCATCTCTCCGAATGTGAGAAACCCAAGCAGCTTGCGCCGAAATCTCCGCATAGTTCACGCGCACTTGGTGCCCTCGCGTTCGTGCCTATAAAATGAGCCGCGTTTGGAAGCCTGGAGGCGGTGCCCGCTGATCGGTGGCCACGTCTTCTGCAGAGGAGAGGAACGGGGAGCACGCGCCAGCCGTGCCTGGACGGAACGTGACCGTGTCTAACGTCGGCGTGCCAGGACGCGTCGGCACGTACGTCCGGCGCCGGCGAGTCCGTCGGCGAACCGACTGACCGTGTCTGGAGATGATGACCTGGGCCGGGCCCTCGATGACGCGCATCTTGTCGCCGTCGTGCACCAGCACGGACGACTGCGAGCGGCGTACCTCCTGACCGTCGTCCGTGTCGTACGTGAACTTGCGCACCACCGACATCACCACCGGCGCGCCCTCCTCGTCCTGGACAGACGATGAGTCACGGTCAGGGGGGACCGATTGGCATCACCACCGGCGCGTCCCCCCCGTCTTGAACAGCAGGTGACTCACGGTCAGGGGGGACAGCTCGGCATTACCACCGGCGCGTCCTTATCGTCCTGGACATGCGGAGAGTCACAGCCAGGGGGAAACCGACAGGCAGCACCACCGGCGCGTCCTCCCCGTCTTGAACAGCCGATGACTCACGGCCAGGGGGGACAGATCGGCATCACCAACGGCGCGTCCTTATCGTCCTGGACATGCGGAGAGTCACGGTCAGGGGGAACCGGTCAGGGGAACCGATAGACATCACCACCGGCGATGATAATCAGTCCTCTCGAAATTGACCAGAACCAGCAGGACCAGGAGCAGGAAACAGCTGTGGGTCTGTTTAATATTGGAATGAAATTTTGGACAAGCAGAGACGCTTCCGTTAGCATTTTAAGGTGCACCGACCGGAAGGTCTTCTCACGTCTTGTGAATTTTGCACTGAGAAATCTGGGGAAATTCCATAAACAACTTCCACATCATCTTACCTGTCATACTGGTCATGGCAAAAACATGTGTTCGGTTTGCTGATTCGTAGGCAAACGCGACACGCACGCACGCACGCATGCGCAGACACACACACACACACACACACACACACACACACACACACACACACACACACACACACACACACACACACGCACACCCACACACACACACACACACACACCACACACACACCACACACACACACACACACACACACACAACACACACACACACACACACACACACCACACCACACACACCACACACACACACAACCCACACCCACACCCACACCCACATCCACATCCACATCCACACCCACACCCACACCCACACCCACACCCACACCCACACCCACACCCACACCCACACCCACACCCACACCCACGCACAAATTCAAAAACACAGTTCAAACAAATTGTCTGACGTAGCCACTGGTAAACCACGGGGTCTGGTTCCTCGCGAAACATACAAGGACTTCACCCAGCAATAGGTCCATAGCAGCTTGCCAAGGTCATCACTTGCCCGGCTCAGACTTGAGCCCCTTGACAGTCACGCAGAGCAGTAATTTGGCTTATCCCGCTTTTGTCGGACTGCATGTACCATGCGATTAACAGCAACAGCTGCACAGTGACACACAGCGTCTATCAGTATACTGTCGTACCCTGGCATAAGAGTATGCATAGAACTTATGCCTATGTAAACATTCCTTCAAGCAATGAAAGGAGTGTTCAGGGGTAGAACATCAAGGGTACCTGGTCCTTTCCCGACAGCGCAGCCGCAGCGGAATCTGTTCGTGTCCTCCGACGGTTCAGTGAGGGTCCGCGTGTGAGCGGCTGCGTGGTGAACACCTGTCGATCGTTTGTCTTACATCGCGCGACCGTGCCTGCCACTTTTACCACTGCGCTTCTGTACGAAGCCGTGCACGTTCTCCACGCCAGCCCGATCCTTCGGCCGGTCCAATCGGTTTCTGCCAGCCTGGTCCTGACGGCTGTCGGGCGCGGTCTGACCCACGCCCGCTGTTGGTGGGCTTCGTTTGGCAGGTGACTACGTCGGAGCACGTAGCACACGTGCTGAGTGTCCGCCGGCGGGGGGTACCTCTTCTCCGGGGGCTGTGGGGCTGGCCGTACCTGCTCTTTGGGACGCTGGTGGCGGCATCCGCTCTGGCACTAGTGCTGCCTCCACCAGTATCGGGTAGGCCGTCTCACAGTCTGCCAGTCAGAAATCAATACCATTGAAAATATGCACGCTGCACCGCTTTCATGAACAGGAAGCACGATTTCAATTTAGGGTTATCCGCACGTTACCATACTTCGGAAGGGCACGACGACCCGATTGCTTGTGCGTGCCGCTTTTTTCAGCGGTTTCTTTTTTTCGTGTTAGTTTGGAACATCGCTCCATCCACAGCAGAGGACAACTTTTGGTCATAAGTGACAACGAGCGACAATTGTCACGTGATGGCCACCAAGAATAGCAACAGCACATTGTCGTCTTGTACCGACCTCGTCACCAGGACCAGTACGTAAGTTGGCGAGGGCAACATCCCAGCAGGCGAATCTATTTATGCTAACACTTCAGGGCTATTTGTTCAAGCGATATCGCCCACTAGCCAAACATTGGAGCGTCAGAACACGCCAGTAAAGTCGGCGAGCCGTGTTGACGAGCTGGAGACTCACCTTTGGTGCACTTGTCCCTGTGCTCTCCGGCGGCCAGTTTGGGCTCGGTGGCCTCGGCCAGCGCGAACAGACGGCATCCTCGCTCGCAGGCGGCCGCCGAGCCGGCCGCCGTCTCCTGCCGGGACAACCGCGGGGTCACACACCGTCAAACACGCGCCCCAGAGAGGTGCCAGCCAGCGGACCGGCGGTGCCAAACAGTCGCAGACGGTCGGACATGCCGGCACGATGACGACAGGTTCGACATGCCGTTTGAATGACAGGAGGTTCGACACGCTGCCACAATGACAGGAGGTTCGACACATCGTCACAATGACAGGTTCGACACGCCGTTTCAATGACAGAGGTTTGACACGCCGTTTCAATGACATGACGTTCGACACGCCGCCACAATGACATGTTCGACACGCCGTTTCAATGACAGGAGGTTTGACACGCCGTTTCAATGACATGACGTTCGACACGCCGTCACAATGACAGGTTCGACACGCTTCGACACGCTGCCGCAATGACAGGAGGCCCGACCCGCCGTCAGTCGTGCCTGGTAAATCCTGCCGGACACACCAATAGGCCACACGCTGACATCGACTGCCAGCGGACAAGTCCGGCAGAGCGCCGGCGAAGTCACGAACGATCGCCGAGTTGAACTCGCCTGGCAGATACGGGCATTTCAAAATGCATGCGCCATTCCTTTGACGAGCCCGGTATTCGACAGCAGAGGTCAAATCGAACAATGTGCTGTCCATGGGTGACAGAGGCATCTGCCAGTAACGTCATGCACCAGATGGATGCAAGAAAGTAATATGGCAAGGTCACGCGAGGGCTGCACGATGGCTGAGCGACCGCGGAGCAGACGCGGTGTCACAGACTAACTCGGACGCGGCCGACATCGACCGGTAACTTCCCGAGTCATGACCGTCGCTAGCTCCGAACCGACCCATGACATGCACCGGGAATAGAAGTGATATGCAATGCCGAGGTAAATGACGTCCACGTCCTTCGTATCCCCCAGTCCTGACCAATCAGCGATACGACTGAGCACGCCCGCTGCTCGCACGAAGCGCCTTGTCATCACGTTCACCGGCAATGTCGTGACAAACAGACCCCGTCGCGTTTTCACCATTATCACGCGATAACGACACATCGAACGCCATGGCGTTCCAAGCACCACAGCCCGGCGGCAGCGACCAAACGTCCGGCTATCTGAACCGGGCAAAGACCGCCAGCGTGAAACGTTTCCGCGTTTCGACTTTCCGACCATGACCGCCGGGCACACACGCCACAAAATGGAGAAGCGGAAGCCGGCGACCCGTGCAAGCCGTGCAGTGTGAGGAAAGTCGGCAGCACCACCTTGGCTGCAGTGGCGTGACTACGTGCCAAATCGATGTTGGCACGTCGTGTCAAGGAAACCTGGCAGCTGTTGTCAAGCCATATCGAGAGGCAAATACAACTTAATTTAAATTCATAAGCTCGTGTATGCCGCACGCGCAGTATCATGCCGTGTACCAGCGTCAGTACCACAATACCTGGGAACCACACTTTTAAATGCTTGCCTTAATTGGAACGCGGCTGCTGGCCATCATTGGTGACACACAGATACACGCACACACACACACCGCTGCGACATCCCATGGCAAGCACTCGCCCTCCGCTCCGTGCCGTCATCCCCAGCCTGCGGGGTACTCACGAACTCTGTGCTGCATTGCTGGTAGCACTCTGCGTTGCGCTCCTCCACTTGTTGTTTGAAGTCAGGCGCGGCGGCGTCGGCCGGCTGGGTGGCGTGCACCAGCGTCAGGCTCGGCTGGTGGACCAGGGAGTGGCACGCCCAGACGCCGCAGAGAGAACAGCAGCTGGGCCGAGCTGGTGCCGACCAGCAGCAGCACTGCCAGGGCCAGCCTCATCGTGTCTGCCAGGCAGGGGCGCCCGTCAGACGATGGCCGGGGCCGGTACGAGGCACGGGGGCCGGAC